ATATATAAATCATCAAAGAAAGGTAAATACAGTGTTCGAACAATGGACATAATAATACATCGTGTAGCATAGCTCTCAACGAAATAGTTGCATATAATATAAATCAAGATAGCCGTTTGATGATTATTATATAATTTAACAGTGTTAACGGCTATCTTGATTTATATTATATGAAACTATTTGTTTCTAGCCGTTATCATTGTGTAATGGAGTGTATCTGGTGGTATTTGAATCTGTTCAACCATGAAGCCTCCGTGGTCTAGTGGTTATGACACTCGCCTTGACAGTGAGAGGTCGCATGTTCGAGACCCGCCAGAGGCATTTTATTAATACACAATTTCTTTATTCATTTATTACAGGACTACAGGATTTGGTCTTTTGTTGCCTGCCCGACGTGAGCGCAAGAAGTGGGCGGAACCAGGTATCGCCGGGAACGTCTTGGCTCCGGAGAAGTACCGAATCTCCGAAAATAGGAACTTGAAAGTATATAAAAAATTAATGATTTCTTTTTCTCTGACAAATTGTGTCGAGCTCTTTCGGGGAGTTGGGTGCAGCTCTCGGCGATGAAGGCTCAGTCCCCTTCCTCATTGGCGCCACCCACTGTTTGTCTGCTTCCAATGGCTGTCATTAAAAAGTAACATTTTCCCTGCATTAGGGTGAGCAGAATATCTAGCGTGGCGAATTATTTGCGGACTACAAATAGAAACCCTTTTTTCGCACGGTTGATTCGTATATAGAAAACAGTATTGCTGCACGGCTATTGGACTATTGACCGCAAACAAAAAAAATTTAAATAATTGGCAGTCTGATGTAATAATAATAATAATAATAATAATAATAATAATAATAATAATAATAATAATAATAATAATAATCTAGGCCTAATAATAATAATAATAATAATAATGTAAAATGACAATGTAATAATTAAAGTTTATTTCACCATTTTGTTGACTATTATTTAATCCTTTCAGAGATTTTATTTATTTATCAAGGTATCTTTATAGAATTGAATAGCAAATCGAAATATGAATACATAATATTAAGTATAAACATCGGTGGCAAGCCAAATCACAAAATCAAAATTTGGTATTTACGATTTTGACATTGACGACGACAGAAATCGTATGCCTACATATATATTACACAGTTGAGATTTTTTTTTTCACCGTCGTAAATCGAACTCAAGTTGGCCTTCCTTGGTAGGTATTGACATCGGATAGAAAAGTAGGCTACACAGCTGATATAAAATATTGGATTGTGTTTGAGATGGAGCATTTTAAATCCATCTTGAAGAAAACATAGTTTTCATTCTGTTCATCAATAAAAGAAATTACAATTTGTAGTAGGGCATGGAGTTGGATATAGTATTAGGTGTTGACATGGAACTCATAGGGCAATGGCGAGTTAGAACCAGCATGGTATTATAGTGAACTATAATACCTCCATGGAACCAGGAATTGTTTTGATTTTCGGTACCAATTTTTTTTATGTCTACTGGACCGTGATCAAGGCTCTCTAGAGTCCTGGTGTTAGCAGGAGGGGCTGTGCCTCTCCGGGGCCTGTTGTTTCAACTCCCTGCTCTCACAAGAGCCCATAGGCGTTTTACGCCACAGCTTTAGCGGAACTCAACTAGATTTTTTTGTCTAATAAGCTGCAGACGCATTCTATATGGATCTATGCATGGACCTTTTAATAAGTCCATGATATGTTTCTGCATTGCTGCTAAGCCGGAATTTAGATAAAAACAACAATGACGGATGGCTATGCTTTACTGAACAACAATAAATATGATTCTTCGCTGTCGTTTTACAAGCTATGTCGATGCTATAAAACATGGGTGTGCAAGACTTAGTCGACGTGACGCTTTTACTGGTAAGATATTGGTTATTTTTTATTATTGTTATTGATTTATCACCTAAAACAATAGCCCAATGTTTAATTGACTGAAATTTACTCTACCACACTCGCACTGCAAGTTAAAAGGACTACCTAAGTTAGGATCTACTCTACTACACTGGTTAGTTTTTCAAGCCCAGTTAGAGTGAATGCACTGTACCTAAAACGATGTAGAGGAATAATAATAATATTATTATTATTCCTATGTATACAATATGTATAATATTGTATACATAGGAACTTATCTGCCGGGCTTATTATGGAATTAGATGCTTGAGTCACTTTTGATTAGTTTCTATTTTTAGCAATTTTTGGGTCACATGTCTTATTCGCAAGAGTTCATTCAGTCATTTAAAAAGGCAATGTTAGCGATGACTTTAAGCTTGTTCTGAGTGCATCCGGTCTAGTGTGTCGACATGGGTTTCGTAACCCTGACTTTCCGTAACTCTGCATTTTATAGACTTTGTTACCCCGATATTTTGAAACTGTGATTTTTCATAACGAATCACTTTCGCTACTTTTCCTGTTTATCTTATTAACAATTCCAAGTTAATCTCAGCTTAGAAAAATAAATGCTAGTCTTTCAACAGAATGGAGCATAGTAAAGTACTTTGGAAATTTTTATATAGGCCTTCAATCAATATTTGCAAACGGAGAAAATATGATGAATAGGTTATTTGTCAAGAATCAAGCCCAGAAAATTACAAACAAAATAATATATTATATGAAGGCCAACTGATAATATTGATGATAATAATAAATAATACAAATACAATTTTTTTTTAAAGTGTGGGGGGGGGGGTAATAACAGAATATTACAATGAAGATTATAGAATGAATAATTACTGTTAGACGAAATCTAAACTTGGCAGATTAGATTTCTGGGGCATAAGATGTGTAATATACTAATCCTATATTATAGGCTGTGGCATATTCCGGGGAAATTCCTTCATCTCAATTTTGACTGTCAAAAGATTTAATTTGACTGCCGTCACTTAATTCCATGCACGTACAAAGTAGACACTTCGTTTCTTCTCAATTAACCTTCTTTTCTTTCACAGGTCTCTTGAACATTGAAACAAAAATAGAACTGACATCCATGATAACTAGAATTTACCCAGCATGCATTTCCCAACAGATGATACATTGGTGATAGAACGAGAGGATTTACTGAAGCTAAATTTACTTCATCCAACTGAGAAGGAAAAAAATAAATATGAAAAAAGATGGAAAGGATTCTGTAATGGATATATTGATCCAGATTTGCTTGTCTGCAAGGTGGTGTACTTTTTATTTTACGGTGCATATGGCTCACTTTATCCTCTTCTTGCCGTCTATTTTCGACAACTTGGATTACTTCCATGGCAAATAGGTATTTTAGTCGGACTTCGACCTATAACCGAGTTCTGTGCTGCTCCAATGTGGGGAGGTATAGCAGATACTTGGAGGAAAGCCAAACTGATTCTGTTGATGTCACTATTTAGTTGGTTAGTCTTCACCGAGGTATTAGTATTTATACAACCAGCCAAGCCATCATGTTTGCCAATTAGCTCTGGTACAACACTCAATGGCTGCGAGTATATAGTTTACCAGGCCGACATGATCGGTGAGGTCGATACACCTGTTACAGCGATGGATTACCCAGTAAAGATGTCAAATAACACTATCCACATCTACAGTATAGTCTATTGTTCCAATGACATCCAAGAGGTATTCCTACTTCTAATGCTGTTTACAATCCTTGGTGAGTTCTTTGGTTCACCAACAATAACACTTGTGGATTCGGCCACAATCGGTTATTTGGGGAAATTGAGAACAGATAACTATGGACGACAGCGGATGTTTGGTTCTCTTGGCTGGGGTGTTCTTATGCTCATTGAGGGTTTTATTCTAGATGCAACCGATACTGTGTACTACAGCTGTGGAAATGTTGAGAAAATTCACAAAAATTATCTTGTCTGTTTTGGAGCGTTTGCTGTCATGATTATCAGCGCGTCGGTTGTCGCCACGCAAATACGCTACAAATACGACTCTGACAAATCTGATCGTGAGAGATTTTTAAAACTCTATGGAACAACAGGTGAAAGTAAAACTAGAAAAGAGTCAGATACATCTGAATCTTCCATTCTAACCAGTGATACAACATTGGATGTGGATTCAACTACTTCTGAAGAAGAAACATCGTTTAATCATGTTCTTCGGATGTACCTTACGCTGCAGTACGGTTCTGTCTTGTTTGTAGCATTTTATTCTGGATTTTGTAGTGGTCTGTTTTTTACATTTCTTTATTACCACCTTGAAAGTCTTGGAGCACCGAACACTTTATTTGGCATTGCATCAATAACCAACCATACTTCGGAAGTTGTGGCATATTTTTTCAGCTCTCAAATCATCGAACTGTTAGGTCATACTAAATCCATGTGCTTGGCTCTTTTGTGCTACGTGGTGCGGTTGCTATCTACGTCATTACTTCACAACCCCTGGATCATACTTCCCTTTGAAGCTTTACAGGGTACGTATCCATTTGTAGTTTTACAGTGCAAGATCTGAAAATTTGTTTTGCCGGAGTAGTGGGGTGTCGTCTGTCCGAAGGGAGGAACTATTGTGCAAGAGGGAGTGGGTATCCAATCACTGGGCTTGATAAAAGAATATTTAGATGAGGAAGAGCTTTTAAAATATAGGTATATTTTTTAAAGTTTGCATTTGTTACCTGGATTTAGTTATGTATTTATAAATATCGAAAACAATTTCCCATACTGAAACTTATTTCTCAAATAATTTTTGTTTTACAGGAATAACACATGCATTGGTATGGGCAGCAATGACCTCATATATTGGCCTGGCAGCTACTCAGTCACTTCGGTCTTCAGCTCAAGGTGTTTTACAAGGGGTGCACAATGGTCTTGGAAGGGGCTGTGGTGCATTCATTGGTGGTGTTCTTGCTTATCATTATGGTAAGGCAGCATGTTTTTGTTGACAGTCTAATGTGTTAGTATGATAAATTTTCGTGATGCTAGCGCTTTGTATCCGAAAATATAGGCTCTATAAAAACAAACATTGATAATAATGTTTATAAAAACGAGAATGATAATAATAATAATAATGTTTAAAGAGTTTGTGGATTATGAAGCATAATTTAAATCAGAACAGAAAATCTTTTTGACAGAAATGCTATAGTGACAACAATAGTTGCTAAATCAGAATTGAAATGTATCTATAAAGTCTATATAAGTGTCTAAAGAGATCACCCGATAATGCAATGAAACTGAAAAATAGTCGTGAACAATTATATATGCCTACTTTGATCATCTGACGTAAAAACCATAACAATGTAGATAAAGATAAATGTAAGCCTATATAAAGTAACGACAACATAATGCATAATTATGCTTGAGTGGATGGATCAAAATTAAATTAACAGAGTACATGTACAGTATATCAAAGATAGGCTTAGACCATGCATGCATATTTCAATTGTTTGAACAATATTATTCTTTTACAATACATATTTTGAAGTTCTTCATACCTTTAAGAATTGGTAAAAAAATATGAAAAAAACAATGTTTTTAAGGAGAAAAGTTGGTGTACAGAATTCAGCAGCTTTCGTTTTAAAACAATTGTTTTATGAATTGTACTCTGAAACCTAGATTGTTATATGTACAGTATGTAGGCCTAAACTTTTTCTGAAGGTCGTGAATCGTATCGAGTTCTTTTCGTACGGTATACAAAAAGGGACACGTCTCAATATTGCCAAAAGATCTGAAATTTTGTGAAATTTAGTGAGTAGGCCATGTTACTATTCAATTCATTATCCCATATAATCAAATTGTAGCATATTTAAATTCATTAACAGTATGCTTAATAGTAATTAATCAGTACCGGTATGCTTAATAGTTATGAGGATCTCATGTACCTTTCAGAAATTTGCTAACAATAAGGTTTCATGGGTAAATCTATTCTAAATTGTATGTTTTCCTCCAGATAAATGAAACGTAACTAGTTACAAGACTTTAACAAAAAAAATTACATAATATAATTATTATACCATTTTTGAATAAAGCTTGAATATAATGTAATCAGTATGCTTGTTCGTAATTTACTCATTCGAATAAAAAAATGTTGTTTTAGTTCAGAAAGTTAGGTACGAAATCTCTCAAGTCGGAACATCGTTTTGCTAAACTTATTGTATAATTAACATGATTTTTATTTCTAAACATATAAACTTATTCCATTGTTAGAGTGCAATAAACTGATCCTCTAAAGGAATAATGAAAAGCAATTTGAAAATTATCAGCGTAGAAAATGTTGTGGTGTGATTTGTTGAGATTGGTTAACATGTTAACCTAATACTAAAACTGTTTATAATAAAAGGCTTGAATTTTACATCATGAGGCCAATTTGAAATTCAATTATATTAAATACAGATTTAGTTTGATTTATTGATTGACTGATTAGTTTTGCTCTGTTTTAGGCACCAGTACTGCATTCCAAGTGTCCGGAATCGTTTGCATAATCATTCTTATCACTTTCGGCTGCATACAATCAACATTTCCGGAAAATAATGATAACAAAAAAGACAAAAACGATGGTAGGACTAAATCGAAATCGTGTAGGAAGACCATGGATAAAAAGAAAATTAAAGGAGAGAGCAAAAGCAGGGAAGAATTCGAAGAAACAGAGGAAGAGCAGTTCATAGATTGACGAGGGAAACCGTGAACAAGCATGCAGACTGTACATTAGTGTAGAAAGAGGAAACAATATATTCACAATAAGCCAACAAGAACCTCTATTTATAACAATATGTAAAAATTGGATAGGTAGATAATGAGAACTTTGTAAAATACATCCCACCAATTTGTAAGCAATCACTGGTGGTGGAACTGGATTGGATCTGCGATGATAACGCGGAAGATAATATACTTCCATAAATACAAGCAGACTATGTGCTATAGCAGTAATTACCTTGACAAGTGTGAGGTTGCAGGAGGTACATTTTCATCCAACTGGATGACTTTTCTTTAAATGTAAGAATTATTTTTAAGGTTATTACATCACGTCATGTTCGTTTATTAAGAGCCCAGTTTCTACCATTTAGAAACAGTGCTTTAAAGTCAGGCTTCAGAGAAAAAAGTACAAGTTTTCTAATACACAAAACTATTTTTGATGATGAAAGACTCAAGAGCGGTTAATGAGATACAGATTTTATTTTTATATTTAAAAACTGGGGAAAAAAGTTGAAAACAGTGGTGGTTACGCCACTTTTTCCCCAGTTTTTAAATATTCAAAAATCTGTATCTCATTAACTGCTTCCGAGTTTTTCGTCAAATATGCTTTTTTGTGTCTATGATTGTAATGTGTGACATGTGACATATAGGCCTATTAATTATAGGCCTATATAAGTTCTAAAAGATATATGTTTCGTTACTAATCACATTGCCTATATGCCTATATATAATATATGGATATATATATATATATATGGATATATATATATATATATATATAGGCCTATATATATACAATCATGCAACCTCACCCGTTAGCCCCGAAAGCGTCAAGAAAAGTGTTGAAAAACGTGAAAAAAAGAACGTGTCTATGTGATCAGTGCAATGCCGCAATACTTTGGTTGTAGATGGACAACATGTGTTTCAATTGACAGATGTATATATAAGAAATGTTACAAGTAAAGAAATAAACTCTAAACCATCTTACGGTATCTTTAATGGGTATTATACTTTGTAAACAGTATATATTTATATGTTGGGATATTTTTGTGGTTTATTAAAAACGAATTTTAATTTACAGTAGGTATGTATTTATAACTTTTTATGTATGAATTTTTCGTGGTTTGTCTTAGTTGCAAACTTTTTTTTATTCATTGCATTTTAATCTCACCAACACAATACTGTATAAAGAAATAGATAAAATATTAACAAGAATGCTCAAATAGGATCATGATGTTATAATCGTCAATCAGCCCTTCAACGACTTGGTAGCGAGAGGCTGCAAGTTCGAATCCCGTCAGAGGCACTTTCATTGACCTGAAGGCTATTCCTAATACGATTATAACATCATGCTATTTTATATTATTTATATATTTCTTTATATATATTATTAACTGATATGTTTATAAATGAATATATAGGCCTACATGTTTAGATTAACAAATATTGTATAAGCTTATTACTGATTTGTTTATATATACATAACTTAAGTACTTATATTAATTTTCGTCTCATCTTGTGATTTTCGTTCAACAATATTTATTTGAACCTAATTCAATTAAATTTATTCAAAATAAACCCGCACCAAGGGAAGGAGAAGTACAAACATTACATTAAATAATATTAAAAGTTCACAAATAAAATTTGAAAACAAATAAAGTAAAAACTAACACGCATCCAGAATGGAGCATGGTAAATTAAAAAGGTTATTGTTAAAATTAATAATTGTATTAATTTTAAATATTAAATAGGCTCAAAAGTTGAGCCATATGTTATACTAAATCATTCGTTATTTATTTATTTATTGCATTTTCGTCTTATCTAGTTTTGTTCGCTCATTTCAAAAATGTTGTTCTTACAATACAGTAATTTAGAGTGAAATCAAATCAACCATTTTACAGGCGTCGGTAATTAGCCAGCGGCTGCTTTTATAATACGACCAGAAATTATAAGAAAACTACCGGTATATGTTTTAATACTGACAAATATCAAATATGTTATAGGCCTAGGCCTACAGTACAGATTATCTTCAAGCAAGGACTTTAAAACTGTTATACAAGATGTTGAAGTATGACTAGTCTACCAATCCAGACTAGGCTAGAGTTATGAGTACAGTACACTAACAGTATTCTTGACCCGCGCAAACGAAAAGACTAACCTCTAGGCTGCTGTTTAGCGGCGGTTACGACGTTTTTTACAGCCAACACTACGTAGCGGAGCGGTATGGAGTGTTTTAGCGTACAGTAATACGACAGGTCGGCCTAGCCCATGTCTAAGTAAGAAAAAAAGAATACAAATTGATCATGGCGATTGTGCAAGGACAGTGTATGTTTATGTGTCCAGAGAGTGAACGAAATTTGTGAGTTTTGGAAAGTATTTGATCTGACAATAACATTCGTAGGCTAGCAGGCTAAATGAGAAGGCTAACTTAGCTAGGGCCTAGGCCTAGTAGAGGGCTAGGCCTAGGCCCTATAACTTATATAGGCTAGGCCTAGGCCCCTAACAGTGCCTAGGCCCCTAGGCCTAGTTAGGGAAAGGAGAAGTGACTGCTTACACAACCTACTGTAGGCCCTAGGCCAGATCTAGGTTAAGCAGGCCTAAATCTACTGTATTATTTATAGCAGCACTGAACTCATTTTCTTTTTGCTTGGCAAACTTTTAACAATGAACATAGGCCTAGGCTAGCTAGGCCTAGTTTAGGCTATTTACGAAGATTCATTGATTGTGGGGAGATTCACAATTAAGGAATGTAAAAAAGCCCTAGACGACATGGCTCTAAATAAGAGCCCTGGAATCGATGGCCTATCCATGGAATTTTACAAAGTTTTCTGGAATGAATTAAGCAAATTACTTGTAAACAGTCACAATGAGGCAAATGACTATGGTGAGCTATCACAAACCCAATCAAGGGGGGTTATTGTCCAAATTTTTAAGGGTAAAGGGGACAGCAGAGATTGTAAAAACTGGTGCCCTTTGACTCTACTCAACATAGACTATAAAATTGCAGCCAAAACACTGGCCAGTAGACTTCAATACGGTATTTACTATTAGCGATATAGTTAGCACAGATCAAAAAGGTTTATGAAAGGGCGATATATTGGTGAAAATATTCGTATAATAGAGGACGTAAGTTATTCGGGCAACCCAGAAACAAAATATTCCCGGTGCTGCAATCTTTTTGGATTCAGCAAAGCATTTGACACCATAGATAGAAACTTCATCATAAAAGCACTACATTCCGGTGTTCGACAAGGATGCCCTCTAAGCCCATATCTTTTCAATATTGGGGCTGAAATTCTATCATTAAAGATTAAATTAAGTAATGATGTAAAAGGAATCAAGCTTCCACACACACATTATCCGATTAACAAAATCAAAATTACTAGCTATGCAGATGACACTACTTTATTCCTTGGAGATGATGCATCCTTTGCAAAAGTGTTCACAATTATTGACAACTTCGCTCAAATACTGTAAGAATAAAACAGAAGGCCTTTTTCTGGGTAGCAACGTAAATAGAAAAGGCAACATCGAGGGCATCAATTGGAAAAAAGACAGGAAATCAAAAGCATTGGGCATTATATATTCAAACACAGTACCGGCTAAAAATATCAACGAAAATTGGAGCAAGCGAATAAAAAAACTTCAAAACATTATTTTTCAATGGGATAAGAGACACCTTCCCTTGAAAGGTAAAATAGTTGTTATTAAGGCACTTTTAATTCTCCCAAATTATTTTTCCAATAATGGTACTCGATGTCCCAAAATGGGCTATTAAATCTTTGGAAACAATACTTTATAAATTCCTCTGACGAAAAAAGGAAAGAGTTAAACTGGGAATACTGTAAACAAAAAGGAGGGTTAGATATGGTTCATTTACCCCTGATTATAGCTACTTTTAAAATCAAGTGGATCAAACAAATACTAAATGATGAAATAGCAGCATGGAAAACATCCCACTTTCAGTGTTAAGAGGTATTGCACCACACACATCGTTTCTTAATTTTAATTGCTCTGCAATTCAACTCAATACAATTTTGGGTAGCCAAACAAATGATTATTATGTTAAATGCCTATTATGTTGGTACGAACTAAAAACCCCAAGAAAAGTGTTCAACATTAACAATCCTGCAAATGAAATTATCTGGTGTAACACCTGTATTGAATCAAGGTAATTCAACAAAAGGACGCACATCTCCGCTCTCGAACATAGCGCGTGCGTACAGTCCTTTGATCTTTACTGTGGCATCGACAATCCAATGCTAGTTGCGAGTACAGCCGTCAATTATTAGTCTATGCGTGCCATTCGTTTTATGGTGTTAGTTTTTATTTTATTAATTTTGGGTACTTCGCAATGTCTGTTACATTTGATTTTTTTTACCGCGAGCTTGTTATGCTTCTATAAACTGCAATTTGATTTGTGAAAATTTACCAAGAAAATGAAAAGTTATAGCAATTCAAAATTTACGAATTTTATAAAATTTCATGTTCTTATGTAACATTAATCTGTCATTTTGACAATGTTGGCATAAGGTGCTGAGGACAAACATTTGAGTATATACGGAACATTTATTAATTTTTTGTGCGAAGTGAGTCTCATGAACGACAATTCACCACAATTTTGGTAAAATTAATGTTGAAATGAAGAATATATTTCAGTCTAATGTTAGTGCAAAATATCATTAGGCCTTTGTAATCACCGCACGACGCGCGACTAACATGGCAACTAACACGCGCGTGGGTAAATCGTCATGTACGCTGACGGTTTATGGTCTGGTTGCTACGGTTTTTGTGACGTTCAGCGTGTAGGGACGTACGTGCGCCTAGAATGTCGATGCCAAAGTTATAACCTTTGATGTCCCGAGATGTGCGTCCTTTTGTTGAATTACCTTGATTGAATATAGAAACAAACAACTATATTTTTAAAATTGGGTAGATAATGATATCCTTTATATCAAAGATCTTTTTAACGAAAACAAACCATTATGATCTTTTATTATTTAAACAACTTAAAGATAGATTTCAAAGAAAGGAATCATTTATGATGGAATATTTTATGATTTTTAAAGCAATACCAAAAAGATGTGTATAAGAGACAGGTATTATTTATAGCAGCACTGAACTCATTTTCTTTTTGCTTGGCAAACTTTTAACAATGAACATAGGCCTAGGCTAGCTAGGCCTAGTTTAGGCTATTTACGAAGATTCATTGATTGTGGGGAGATTCACAATTAAGGAATGTAAAAAAGCCCTAGACGACATGGCTCTAAATAAGAGCCCTGGAATCGATGGCCTATCCATGGAATTTTACAAAGTTTTCTGGAATGAATTAAGCAAATTACTTGTAAACAGTCTCGATGAGGCAAATGACTATGGTGAGCTATCACAAACCCAATCAAAGGAGGTCATTGTCCAAATTTTTAAGGGTAAAGGGGACAGCAGAGATTGTAAAAACTGGCTATTTGACTTGTCTCTTATACACATCTAGATGTGTATAAGAGACAGTTCTAGAAGAGAAACTCAACATAGACTACATCCATTTGAGATGGTTAAAGGAACAGAAAATACTAAAAGGTTAGTGAACAGGGTAAGCTTACTGTAATAGGTTTTAAATGATACTGACGGCAAAACTATTTTTATTCAGTGGTGACACCAGTTTTATTGGGGGGCAGGGCAGAGAAGGAAAAAACTTGAGGCGAGGCATCATTCAGTTTGAGCAGATGCCAGTTCGAGCGGATGCATTTAGTGTGAACTATAAGAAGGGCGAATCTATCGTCGCCCTATTCTTGTATTTGTTTTAAATGCAAAAAATGCTATGTGCACTAAGTGTTATAATTGTATTTGTAGATTTAGGCCTATATTGGTAAATGGGAGTAACTGTAATGGTAATTGTTATTCACCATAGAAATTTAAATTATTTTGCGTATTTAGGCGTCAGAAGGTGCAAAAGTCAGTGATGTAGTAGTGTGACACGGGCGAATCCCATTTTTCCACTAAATTTTAAAAATGTCAATGCATAATAATGTTATGTGCTACTCATCTATTCTGAAACTGTTGTGCCCCCCACCCAGCCGTTTGAAAAATTCTGGATCCGCCAGCTCCTGTGACAAAATTATTAACAGCACAGTATAGACACTGTCTCTTATACACATCTAGATGTGTATAAGAGACAGATGTTATAATCGTCAATCACCCCTTCAACGACTTGGTCGATTGCAACTTCGGTTCCCGTCAGAGGCACTTTCATTAACCTGAAGGCTATTCCTAATAACATCATGCTATTTTATTTTATTTATATATTTCTTTATATATATTATTAACTGATATGTTTATAAATGAATATATAGGCCTACATGTTTAGATTAACAAATATTGTATAAGCCTCTATTACTGATTTGTTTATATACATATAACTTAAGTACTTATATTAATTTTCGTCTCATCTTGTGATTTTCATTCAAAACTTGAACCTTTTCAAATTCAATTAAATTTATTCAAAATAAACCCGCACCAAGGGGAGGAGAAGTACAAACATTACATTAAATAATATTAAAAGTTCACAAATAAAATTTGAAAACAAAATGAAGTAAAAACTAACATGCATCCAGAATGAAGCATGGTAAATTAAAAAGGTTATTGTTAAATTAATAATTGTATTAATTTTATTATTAATATTAAATAGACTCAAAAGTTGAGCCATATGTAATACTTAATCATTCGTTATTTATTGTATTTTCGTCTTATCTTGTTCGCTCATTTCAAAAATGTTGTTCTTACAATACAGTAGAGTGAAATCAAATCAACCATTTTACAGGCGTCGGTAATTAGCCAGCGGCTGCTTTTATAATACAACCAGAATTTATAAGAAAACTACCGGTATATGTTCTGATACTGACAAATATCAAATATGTTATAGGCCTAGGCCTACAGTACACATTATCTTCAAGCAAGGACTTCAAAACTGTTATACAAGATGTTGAAGTATGACTAGTCTACCAATCCAGACTAGGCGAGAGTTAAGTACGTACGTACACACACAGTACACTACACTAACAGTATTCTTGGGCGCAAACGAAAAGGCTAACCTCTAGGCTGCTGTTTAGCGGTTGGTTACGACGTTTTTACAGCCAACAGTGTACAGAACGATGTCTAGGCCTAAGTAAGAAAAAAAGAATAAAAATTGATCATGGCGGTTGTGCAAGGACAGTGTATGTTTATGTGTCCAGAGAGTGAACGAAATTTGTGAGTTTTGGAAAGTATTTGATCTGACAATAACATTCGTAGGCTAGCAGGCCAGGCCAAATGAGAAGGCAGGCTAACTTCTCATGGCCTAGGCCTAGAGGCCTATCTATAGGCTAGGCCTAGGCCCCTACCAGTGCCTAGGCCCGTAGGCCTAGTTAGGAAATGAGAAGTGTCTACTTACACAACCTAGGTCCTAGGCCAGATCTAGGTTAAGTAGGCCTAGATCTACTGTATTATTTATAGCAGCACTGAACTCATTTTCTTTGCTTGGCAAACTTTTAACAATGAACATACGCCTAGGCCTAGTTTAGGCTATTTACGAAGATTCATTGATTGTTTTGGCCCTCTATAGCCTAGGCCTACGTAAATTTTAATGGTAAGAGTAGGCTTAGGCCTAAAACTAAAAAATAGGCTTAGGCCTATAAAGCTAAAGATAGGCCTAGTATTAGTAGGGCCTAAAGGCGTTATATTGTTAAGCAATAAATCAATGAATCATCTGACAGAAGGAAAGTAGAGGAAGTGAGAGAATGGAAAGACCAAAAAGTAACCTTATTAAATAGGATTGTTTATTATTTACTTTCTAGAAGAGAAATTCAACATAGACTACATCCATTTGAGATGGTTAAAGGAACAGAAAATACTAAAAGGTTAGTGAACAGGGTAAGCTTACTGTAATAGGTTTTAAATGATACTGACGGCAAAACTATTTTTATTCAGTGGTGACACCAGTTTTATTGGGGGGCAGGGCAGAGAAGGAAAAAACTTGAGGCGAGGCATCATTCAGTTTGAGCAGATGCCAGTTCGAGCGGATGCATTTAGTGTGAACTATAAGAAGGGCGAATCTATCGTCGCCCTATTCTTGTATTTGTTTTAAATGCAAAAAATGCTATGTGCACTAAGTGTTATAATTGTATTTGTAGATTTAGGCCTATATTGGTAAATGGGAGTAACTGTAATGGTAATTGTTATTCACCATAGAAATTTAAATTATTTTGCGTATTTAGGCGTCAGAAGGTGCAAAAGTCAGTGATGTAGTAGTGTGACACGGGCGAATCCCATTTTTCCACTAAATTTTAAAAATGTCAATGCATAATAATGTTATGTGCTACTCATCTATTCTGAAACTGTTGTGCCCCCCACCCAGCCGTTTGAAAAATTCTGGATCCGCCAGCTCCTGTGACAAAATTATTAACAGCACAGTATAGACATCATACCAATTTTCTCCACTATTCACTGTTTAATACAGCCGAATGCAAATTGTTAGCTCAAAATAGGAAATTTTGAAGTAATTCGTACATACTGTAACTCGCACAGGTTGTTGGTAGCACAATTAGCATGTGCTCGAATAAATTTCGCTCGAATCCGCTCGAACTGGCATTTGCTAGAAGTGGCATCCGCTCGAATTGACTGGTTCCCATTGAATGAATAGTTCTTAGCCCTATTAGGGGGCGGCGTCCCCTTGTAACGGCTAGTTCCAGTGACGTGAAGATGATATTCAATAAAATTCAGTATTTAAATTTTGAGTGCCAGCAAGAGCAACAATTTTTTTCCAAAATATTCATAGTTATGTTTCACAAAATAAATAAATAAATATCTGTAATAATAAAATTATTATTCTTCGTTTAACCTCATGTTTTAACATCTTTTAAGTTAAATGTACAATAACATGATCAAAGGACATAACCAGAAGCTAACAGGTAAACTCACAAACACATACATTTTTATTTACTATGATGAAGACCTAAAGCTGACCCAGAGTCAACAGTTAAAGAATACAGCAGACCAGCAGCTGGAAAGAAAGCGTTAGTGCTCTCTGACCTTCGACCTCCTGAAGTTCTCTATATCACCTGGTCATATCTAGTTGAGAGGTAATTTGAGAATAATTTATTTTACAAGGCTAGAAAAACATTTTTTTCCATTAGAATTGAGCAATCGTGTAGTTTCTATATAATAAAAGTATACTAAGATATTAATAATTGACATTCTACTTTTTTTATGACCAGGATGAGGTAAAAGAACAAAAATAAATTTCCTTGGTAGTATGGGAGTGGTTTAGTAATAATACTGGGTCAGAGATAGAATGTTGCATTCTCATTTTGGTAATGTAGTTCTGTCAAAGCAGCTTTAAACAGCTGTAAATTTTGTTGTATATTCCGTTTTTTTTTTTAATGTTAAAATGAACACATTAATGAGTTGTATTATTTTCTTTTTCCTTTTCTACTTCATCATATTATTTTATCTAGCATTGCGAATAAGACAGATGTAGGCTATTTGACTGTATATAACTTTATCTTTGATCGTCTGCGAAGTATACGCCAAGATGCTGTAATCCAAAGAAGCGAGGGGCCTGAAATTGTGGCAATACTCGAGCAAGCTGTACGTTTTCTTCTTGCTAGTAGTTATAGGTAACCCTGATATTTTTTAGTTGGCTCAAATTTAAGTAATCTGTCTTTTAATGCCGAGCTCACTATCCTGTAACTTATTTTGCAGGGAGTAGCCTTTATTAGATTAATGTGTCCCTTACTTACTGGTACATTGTAAAATACCTGTCTATAATGTACATTCTACAGTCATGGGCCAATATATTACTTCAAAAGAACATTTCAATTTATGTATGATTTTATTGGTGTCTTGACTTGTGGAGAAGTTTAAGATATATTGTACTGAACTGCCACTTAAATTATTTAAAAAATTATAAAATTTGAATTGTGTATTATTTCAATATTTATCCTTAAGTTAAACATTGGGGAGAAATTGCCTTCCCAAATAACAAGGCTTTTTAACATATTGGCTGCCAGCAACGAGTATACTCGTCCCAGAGGGTGATGCTGAGGGCGCTAAGGATGACCATACTCGTCAAAATTGGGGTAACATCCAAACTTAATGGCTGGTAGTTCGGGGAAGATACACCTAGACGATAACATACACAAAAAGTACGTACAGTATGTATGTTTGTTTTGACGCCCTCCAAACATATACCAACCCATGTAAAAAGAGGACAAGAAAACTCGCACAGTGCCGGCAACGAGTTTACTCATCCCCTAATGTTTTCCCGCCAATTTTTTAGACATACCATTTTGATGATATATGACTAGATACAACTTCAAAAAAGTATGTTTGTACTTGTTTTGGAACACGGGAAGGAACCTAAAAAAAGGCCTGGCAGTCAACGTATTAAAGAAATATTCCTAGTCTTTTTAATGTGTACTCTTTAATATCCGCCAGCAAATTTTAAAAATTTGCATCAGAAAAAGTCATTAAAACCTTTTTAAATTATGTGCTTTTTTTGTAAATGAAAAAGGTTTTTAATTTTTTAGATTTTGTTTATCAGTCATACAAAGTTTGTTCAACATAATCTGTTGGCACACAATCAGTATTTTCTGTATAATTTCAACCATCCTATATCCACTATATACTGTGTAACTTCATGTTGGTTTGGGAGTAGTTGTATGCATGCCCGAGCAGGTAACAATATTTGGTTAGGCATAAACAACGAGAAGCAAACAAAGAATTAATGTCAGTGTGATGGAAAAAAAAACTTTATGGAAAAAATGCCCAATTCAGGAAACGCTACTTTGCACACAGTTACACTTGCACAAAGAAAGGAAGACATGACAAGTTCTGTTACATCAACATTAAACGTCAGCCGACCCTGGAAAATATTTTGGCGATACAGGCCTGTAAACAACCTAATAGATGAAAATATGCTTTGCCACTTACCATGCTACTTAAAACCGTCAGTTCCCAACAAACTCTAATTTTGCGAGAATTGAAATTAAGTAGGGATGCCAGTTGCCGAGACAGATTCCCGACAGAGTGACTATCAAAGAAGAACTCAACACATTTGTTAATAAAAAATAATCATATGTAACTTTCACTGAATATTTGTTAGGCAAAAATAATCATATTTAACTTTTACTGAATATATGGTTGTAAGATCGATATAGGCCTTAAGCACTCACATCACAAAATTGTTAGAGCTTCCGGGGGCTTTGCCTCCTGGACCCCTTTCAGAGGTTCTGGGACATCGCCTATAGTGCAAAAATTGTAAGGAGTTTAGTGTCCTAATATTGTGCTGAAGTACAATTAAAAAAGGAATGGAATTGGACATTGCCAAAAAAACCTCTGTGCGGCCAACAGGCGACTTCGGCCACAGCATCTCAGAATTTTACCTTAGGTCCATAAAGTATAACCAGTTGCTTGAAACTCAGAGATTTTCTTTGGCCTCTGACATCAAATCCAAAAATAATTTGGCCTTTCAAATAAATTAATTAAGAACCAGGGACGTAGACATTTACAACTTTCTTATTATGATATACCTACTCCTGGATGTTTGGCCATTCCAATAGGGGCCTTTATATATTGAGCCTTTTTATATTCTTATTTTATATTTAGACAGGTGTTCCTTGAGTACATAAAAAACATTTGCTTCCATACAATTTGTTTCCATTTGATCTTAGAGAGTCAAGTCCCGTTGAACAATTGAAGTTAACCATATTTGTATATGAAGTTGATCTGAATTGTTTATTCACTGAAATTTCCATATTCAAATATTAATTTAGTTTATTTTTAACCATTGAGTACGACTAAGGTGGGTTTGTATCTTGTCCTAAAGAGGCTGTTTGTGATGTAACCATGGCTCTGATGTTGACTATTCCCATGTTTTCAGTTTAAACTGCTTTCTGTTTGATTTAATTTTTGTAGTAGACTCAAAGTAGATTTTTCTTTTAGGCGAGACTTGTTTAATACTGTGTTTTGTGAACCTACCATCAACCAATTATTATGCGAATAGAAATAAAATTTAAAATAATAGTAATAAAATTAAAAATGTATTTATTTATTTTTATTTTTGGCCTTATGATGTACCCACTGCCAGAAAAGTTTTTAAAAAAATTAGTAATTCATTTATTAAGCCCTAGGTTGCCATGAAATCTGTTAAGAAACTGTATGGTTTTCTCACTATTAAATGAATATAGAACATTATCAATTTGATTTACTGAACTGGCATATATTAAAACCCTCAGATAGTGTGAAAACAAACAGAAATTCATTGACAATACCTTTAAAAAATCATCAATTTTGGAGTTCAACCTATATATTGATGTTGCAGCATCAGAGCCAAATATTGACAGGGTTTTAACATAATATTTTATTGGATCACTGCATGAAATATTTTTAATTTGGCATATTACAAATTTTAGACATTGGCTACTTATGAAGTACTGTAACAATAGTCATTTTTTTATTTGTAAAGGTTATGCAGAGAAGATATGATGAATTTTGATACCAAGATATGCTTTGACCATCTCAGTGAATGCTTGAACAGGCTGTTGGTATTCTACCACTTTTATCCTGACTTTGCTAAAAACCAGGTCGAATTCCAGTCTTTGCATATGCTGTGTAATCTTGGTGAGTTTAAGGATGTTACCTATGTTGGGTACACAATTGCTATTGTAAAAAGGCTTAGCAATACTTGACTTCCCCTTTATGTTGTAATAATACAATGTAATAATATTTTCATAAACCAGAATCTGTCCTTTTTGTTTGAATCTGGCAGATTCTAGATTTGTCATCAAAACTAAAAACCACTCTCAAACCGCATAAAATTTAAAGATTACTTTCACTTTGTATTGTAATAATACAGTTTAATTAAATTTTCATATACCAGAATCAGTCCTTTGTGTTTTACTCTGGCAGATTCCATATTTATATCTCCAAAACCACAAACATCCGTAAACAGATTCATGTATTTTCATCCAGTAATTGGCTAATTTCCATAAATGATGAAATAAACAACAACACACTTACAAAAAAAAATATTAAAATTTCTGTGCTGCAGCTATTCAAAGGAGGCACTTATTTCAGATTAATGGAGCATTGTTTTACTATCTTTTCCTATTAAAATAGTATGATATGTTGTACCTATCTGTCTTGTTACAATATTAAAATATTACAATATTAGTATAATTTAGTTTCAGATAAATGTCCTACAGAGTAAATTAGTAATGATAAAAATCACATTGTTTTTTTTTTCTTTTTCCAGCAAGTTGTAAAGCTTTTATATCTTTGTTTTCACCCTAAATTTATGTAACCATCACTTTTATGCTGGCAGGTTCATCTCAAGCTGTCTTGCATATTCTTGGTCTGCCTTTTCATTTAAGGTAAAAAAATCCAATCTTTCTGCTTACATTTTGAGCCAATAAAAATTTATAGTAAAATGTATACTAACAATTTTTTGATTCAACTGATCTGCCCTACTGCCGCTACTAAATAGGAGAATCATGAATCAATTTTGTTCTGTTTGAATTGAATTAATTAATATTAATATCCATTAACAAGACAGATTGTTGCACAGGACTATTTTTTAGAAAAATTTAGCAAATGTCCCATGTGAAGCTGAAGGCTGCATGGAACCTATGTAATGTCCATGTAACAAAAAAAAGTAGCCTGAAATTATCCCCCCCCCCCCCACTTCTTGAGTTAATTTGCATGAATTTGTGAGCTGAGCCTATTTTCCGTGTCAAGCCTGGCAGTATTAGTACTATAATGGCTTCATGGTGATTTATTTTAATCTGTGTCTCATTGGAAATTTGTAACTTACCTGATCCTTTACTTGAACAATTACACAATTAATGTTTAGAAACTTTTCCAAATTTCACTACAGTATATATCTCAAAGTTATCTAAAGCCACAACATAGAGGGGGCTATATAGATTTTTCTTATTCTGTATTCCATAATGCCTTAATTGAAAAATCACATTGGCATTCTAAACCAACCAGATACTCACTTATACTATACGCCTGGGTGGATAATTATGTAATTATCGTCCGATCTCTTTATGTTCTGTAGTAGGTAAGTTGCTTGAGAAAATTGTTAATAGGCAATTACTTAGTCATTTGCATGATCATAAGCTTATTTCCTCATTTCAACATGGATTTGTAAAGGGTAGATCTTGTACCACCTTGTTAGCCACTGCACACTACGAAATGGCAAAATTGCTAGATGAGCATAATCCTCCTCCCATCAATGTTATCTTTTTAGATTGGAGCAAAGCATTTGACAGGATTAATCACTCTATAATGTTTAAGAAAATGCACAATTATGGCCTCTGTGGTTCTGTATTTCGCTGGTTTTTGTCGTATCTAAGCAACAGGTCTCAACATGTAGTTTTTAGAGGCGAATCATCTTGGTCGTGTCCTGTTCTTTCAGACGTGCCCCGGGGACTGTCTTAGGTCCAACCTTATTTAATTTGTTTGTTCTTGACCTGCCAGAGGTTGTTTCTTCCCCTATATACCAATATGCTGATGACACTGTTATATATAGAAATATAAGAAACAACAATGATGTAATACTCCAGCAAGAAGTGGATGTTATGGAGCTTGATGAACAAAATGGAACTTAATTCGATTAAATGCAAAACAGTGAGAATCACCAGATCGAGTAGACTTGCTAACTCTGTGCATGCATATCAAATTGGACAAACTTACCTTACAAACGTAACCAGTTTTAAATATCTGGTGTAAATTTTACCTCAAATCTTGATTGGGGTTTGCATGTTTCAAAGACTAAATCCAAAGCATCTATGATACTTGGCTTTATTCTCAGACTAGTTTGTTACCGTGACCCATAACATTGTACAACGCTTTAGTCCGTCCAATAATTGAATATGGTGTACCTGCTTGGTCTGCCCACCAAAGCAGTAATATTACCTCTCTTGAAGCAATTTAACGCAGAATGACAAAGGCGTTACACACAACGTCTTGTTATCACATGCTTAACATTCTGTTGAAAACCGATTTGAATATATCTGCTTAGCTTTTGTTGCAAAATGTCTTTAAAATTTATACTTAATTCCTCGACAAGATTATATTCATTTTAATACTGGACACACAGTCCATCTTAAATTTTTACACACTTAATCACATACTAATTGTTTTAGATTTCACATTTTTAATAGTTTTCCTAGAGTTTGGGACAAACTTTCCATTGATGTCCGAGATGAACTTGTCTTTGGAATTGGTTCTTTTATGCTAAGCAATAATTCTATTTTAATATTTCATATTTTGCATCTTGGACCATTTTAACTTTAATGTTTTTGCTGAAATTCTTGTTTATCTATTTTTATTGTATCTGTTAATTGCAATGATATCAGTTTTTATATTTTAATAGTTTTATGAAATTTTATGAAGAATTGTTTACCTTGTTGCTTTAAATTTGTTGACATTTTAACATTGACT